TGGATTGATTTTTTTTTTTTAAATTAATTTGCTTCAATTTACTTACAAGGATTATGTAATTAGCTTTTCAAAATAGACAGCTTTAGATTCCAGATCTATATTTCTGTATTTTAGATTGGATTAATGCCACATAAAATTACAAACTTCATCACAGAGAAGCTGAAATACTAATCTTAACAGTCTCCGATGTCTTTGTTAGCAAGTAGTTAGTTTGAATATCTTTGGTCACTGAATTTAGACACTGAATTTAGACACTCATCTGTTATTTTTCAAGGAATCCACTAGAGCTGGGTTTTTTCAAAGCAGATATTTTAAAGGACATATCATCTGACTAAAAAAGAGTTAAGCAGATCTACAAAAAGGATGATTTTTTTCTGATTTAATATATACATAGTAAGAAATTCCAAATCAAATAGAAGTAAGAACTGTGGCAACAATGCAGAAATGAAGAGTTGGTGAGACACCGAACTGACACTTACCCGTATTTACTCACGCTTGATTCCTTTCCCTCTGCTTGGTAAAGTGTTGGAGTACATATAGCAACTGGAGCTGACTCTTTAAAGAGTCCATAAGGAAATGTGTTAAAGATGAGCTTTTTCCTGTGCATGATAAAAACCATTCCTACTGGAAGATGCTATATATGGTTGACAAGTGTCATGGCATATAGTGCTTGGGGCATTTTTGTATTTTCTGCAGACAAGACTAAATGCTTTTGAATTTTTTTTATTGCTAATATATTTTTCCCATCACCTGAAATGGGAAACCATGTCTTGAAAACCTAAAATGACTCCTCTGAAATTTAGTATTTTTTTTTCCTCAGCTGTAATAATCTACAGGCAGGTATAAAATTTAGCTTGAGCTTCATCTACTGACACATATGCAAGCCCAAGCAAGATACAGAGGAGCTAAAGTTAGCCCATGAAATAGAGTTCTTTTGTTTTAGTCAAAGCCAGGTGTGTTTGATACCTGCCTTTCCACTGATTAAGTAAAGTTTGTAAAAACACACTGTAGCATCGAAATAACTTATGTTAGTTAGATGAGATCATTAAGAGACAGAGAAATATTAATGCCATTGTGTGGAAATAGTGGTGAAAAGTCACCCAAAATACGGTATGTAATTCTGGTCACCAACGTTCGAAAAAGATTAAGCTAACAAGTGAAAAGAAGGTTTCTGCGATGGTCAGGAATTGGGAGAACCTCTCTTACGCGAAGAGGCTGAGAGTGACCTGTACCCTGCAACGTGGAGCAATGCAGAAATACCTGAGCCAGAACGACTCGGGCAGGTAGGTGCCCCGACACAACCTGGGATGTGGAGAAGGGTTTGTGTGTATGGATCAATGGCTCAATTACTGTTTTGGTTCTTGTGATATTTTGTGGAATATAATTTCTTTGTAATGTCCTAGTTTGGTTTGGAGTTTAGAAATGAATTCCAGAATCGTGAGGGAGGGTGCATGGGAAGGCTCACTGTCATGGTTAGCGTGGCTCTCATTAATCAGCACAGCCTGGAGGGCAGGGACAGCCTTGGGCACGTATACAGCCTTTCTTCCTGGTCACCAGAGCTGTGTATAGCTCAAGAGGACTGTGGTCCTGCCAGTTTCTTCACACTCAAGTTGCTGAAGAATATCAACTGCTGAATAACAGCAGTGTGACATCTTAGAACATACCATGCTCTGCGTGTATTTGGCTGGAAAGCCAGTAATTCAGGATGATACAACTTCATAATAATACATGTATCTGTTCATCGAAATAAAGAATGCCATGTTTGTGTGAAAGAAAAGCAAAAACAGGATTTTGTTTTCACCTTTTTAAAAATTTTCTTTTCGTATGTGATATTTTAGAATAGAGTTGAAATAAGTTTTCCTTTGCCTTAGCTACCAAACATGAACACTTTAGAATTAAGATAGCAGTTGACATTTGGAAACCCAGTGTGCTGTGGATCTGATGTTTTAATTCAGGCCAGTTCTTGTTTAGTGTGTTGTTTTGGGGACAGGCTTTGAGCTGTGTTCTGCATTTGGAAATGAAACCTGGGTGAGTTTCAGATGTTGCAGATGTGCAGTACAGCCCTGCTTCTGAGCTGTTGTTTCTTTATAACATGCTGTTCTTGGGGGGAAGAGAAATTTCTGATGTGTAAAATTACTCTGAACGCAATTCTGATTGTTTAATTCTTACTTATATTTAAAGTACTTTTCATCATTAAGTCTAATCAATTACCAGTAGCCTGTAATTTGTTCAGAACTTTCTTAAGAAAATGGCTTACTGTGTATCTCTGCTCTTTACTGTTTTAAAAGGTAATTTAGACAGTGCTGGAGGGAGCAGACAAAAATACTTGAAACCCTGTTTGAATTTTGATCTTTTCTATAAAATGAGGAAAGTGATTTCTCCCTTGCTGAAATGAGTAGTCCATCTGCCTGTCAGATGTTCAACAGCTGGACCTGCAAGTGGATGGCTAATAATGGGAAGATCCTTTTGTCATAGGGATTGTTTCTTTTTTTTTTGCAAGTACATCACTAGACCATAGATTTCATAAATGTCGGTCTTCCCTCATGTGTGTTTCCTGTATCACATAGTCTATGCCATATATCTTAAGGAATGCTGCCTCACAGAACAAAAATATTCCTGTTGTATGGTGAAATCAAATGCTGCGTCTTTTTGCATTGAAATGGATGCAAAATATCAGGAATCCTCTGGATCCATACTCAAATTCTGTGCGAGGGGTAATCCTCACAAAGGTTGTTCTACCTTCCTTCTACCTTCCTCCGGCTGCTGTGTCACACGTGGTTGGTGAAGTAGCTGCTCATGCCAAGTCCCTGAATCCGCGACCTGTGATGAAGACCGTGGGCCAGTTTCTTCAACTCTGTGTGGAGGTGAATGTATTCAAGGAGTATCTGGCAGAAGCAAAGCTTAAAATACAAGGCACTTGCATTTTGATTTTTAGGGCTATAGCTTCTTGTAGGCCAAATAAGGATTCTTTGTTCAAGAGGATTCATTACAGCCAATTTGGAAAAAAAAAAGTTATAATCTGCTATAATCTTGTTATAGTCTGAAAATACATTTTCCAGATCTGTTTGATCTTTTTGTGAATGAGAGAGACTCTGTTTGGCTCTTCAGCAGAGAGGTACATCTGAACGCTCTTGTTTCCCAAACAAAATCTCTCTTGCTGCCTTACTCCCTGAAAGCACATTTATCTGGATTAGTTTTCTTTTGAGGCCTTGACTTTTGCAGTCAGTTACGTGGATGCTGCTTCTGATTGCTTATATAGGGAGAAAAAAAGAGTTGAAGGGGGGATTAGTAGTTTCCTTGCAGTTAAGAATAAAAGCCGCAAGTTAACGGTAAATGTGCAGATCAAATGCATGACCTGCTAAGAGGAAATTCAGGCAGAATATACCATTATTTTTTATAGATGATTTTAAGGAGTTATAGTCATTCATTGCTGTCAATGACCTATTCTTGACCTAGAGAGACATGGTTTTTCTCAAGAACTATTTCCATTTCCAGTGCTGAAAAAACTTGCCGCATCACATTGTGAAGAGGTGCCAAAAGTGCTTCTCATTTAAGTTCTATCACCTTGATTAAATCCGTTCTTTCGTATTTTCAGATGGGTTGGTGAGAACAGACTAACCTAAATATGTCTTAAAATAGATGTGAGTCACTGGTGATTCATGAATTATATGAATAAGCAAAAAGAAGGAGGGAAAAAAAAAAGATTGATCATGAATTCATTCACACATCGAGGAATACTGCCTGCAGAAATGAATTAAAGAAACTCTGTGGTTTCTCTCACGTCAGGAGCTATTGTTGCCTCAGGGCCAAAATATTCCTATTGTCTACTGCATTCCAGAGAACTAGCCTGATAAAGATTTTTTTAGTATTTATACATAGGCGGACTCTGAATTTCATCCTGTCCATATTCTGCTTATTGTATTGTTTCCCACTGCACGTTTATTGTGATTTTACCTGATTTAATTCTGCCTCTGCCAAATCAAATATCCCATTTCCTCAGAAGATTATTACACAGGCAGATAAACTCTTGTCATTTAGGAAATTCTTCTCCTAAATTGTATTCCACGCATTTTATCAAATACTCTTTCTCCTCCCAACCCATTCTTATAAAGAGTCTCCCTCGTTGCTGTTTTCACTGTTCAAAACTGTACATAGTTGCTGTGCAATCATCAGCTATTGCTTATCTTTCCACTAGGTGTCATGCAAGTTGTTTTTTTGTTAAATGTTGCGCATCCGCTGTCTTGAATCAACCTTTAGATATAATTTATCAATTCAAAATAATTGTCTGAAAGACTGAAATATTTTAATTCTTTTAGGATTTCCGTAGCCTCCAAGATGTAAGAGTTGGACAAAATGTGTGCGTTGTGTGGTCTGCCTAAATCAGATAGCTAATCACCTGTTTGTGTCTTATGGAACTCTTGGGGTCTTGAGCCTGTTAATGAAAATAAATATTCATAGACCGTTTGGATTCAAGCTGTCCTTAGCAGAAATAGTATTAATATTTTCCTAAGTTGTAACGATGATCAAGTGCGCATGGGGAAGTTTCTAGAGAGAGAATATCTAAGGGCATCATTAAAAGACCACCGTCAAGGCAGTATTTCATTTCCCACCACAAGATAGTGCCTAGGCAGTTCCCTGCAGTCCTGCTTCAGGTAATAGCTCTGAACGTGCACCAGGGAACCCTGTCATCCCGACAGCCGTCAGAGCAGCCCGTGTTTCTGTCGTGCCTTTCATGAGCTGAATGTGATGTTGGTGCCTTGATGGGAAGTGCTGGGCTTGGTAAAATGGGGTCAACAGTGTCCCCCTCTGCTTTGCTGGATTAAATATTTTGCTCGAATGAAAAGTAATTTGTTTTCCAGCTCTTTATGCACAGTCATTGTTATTCAAACAATTACAACACAACGCTGTGTTTATGTGGATGTTTTATTTAGAATCAGGATTGAGCTTTCGGATCAAATCTCATTACCTTCTCCATTTTCCATGCATGCCTTTTAGATGAAACTAAACTGGATTATTCACTCTGGAAATGCATCTGCTTTGTTCTAGGTGCTAATGGAGGTTCAATATTTGGTACCAGACTAAAGACAGTCCTAAATAACACCTCCTCTCCTGGTATATACGGTTTGATGTGGTGTCCTCAGTTCCAGATTGTTTCCCTGCCGTGATCCAGCTCTTTGCACCATTCTGCTTGTTGATACAGACATTGCCAGTGTGACAGCCGAAGAACCGTCCGTAAATGAACCATTTTCAAATGCCCTGGTGACTATGCAGTCAAGCTTGCTAAAGATATTTAAGTGGCTTTACCAGGTTACTGCATAGTAGCTGGATCGTAAAATGCATGAAATCAAGCAGCACTCTGGTGTTGTGGTGTTGTCCTTGTTTGAGTTTGGTGATAAACAAAATCAGTCTTCAGCCCCATTAGCTAAAGTCCTGCTATTTTCTCCTTGAAGAGTTTGAAATGCTGGCTAAAGATATTTAAGTGGCTTTACCAGGTTACTGCATAGTAGCTGGATCGTAA